CTCAGATCTGCAATCATAAAAGTGGCTCCATCCTGTTTTCAGCAATTGTTCTGTTGCCTTTGTTGTTTGTTATCAGGGAGGGGGAGGTTGCCAGTGTGAGTCCTGCTGTTTTACCCTTCATCCTTGTGTTGTTGTTCAAACTGGGAGTAAATAACTCATCTGTCTCCATCGTTCTCGTCATCTCTTGGTTAGGAGGCGTTTTGTCTTTCTGTGACATTGCTTGGAACAAATCTGGTGCACAAAAATCTATTTTTGTGTACGTTAAGAGCAAACAATTTCATCCTTTTTATTTTTATTGTTATTACTTTATCAGCAAAAGGGGCTGAAGGCCTGAGGTTCAGCTAAAAATACTCTATATTATCTATATATTATATTATATTGTTTTTAAGGGATTTGTAATATGAGCGATTATAAATTCATTTTTTGTCAATACAGTAGATTTCAGGCATGTGAGACTTGAATGTGGCTACTTACTAATATTTCAGTAATTCCACAGTAGGTTTTTCCCTCCATTGTTATTACTGAGTTACACTCATCAGCCTTAAATTTACAGCATTTAATATTTTGCTTATTAAATGTCCAACTTGATTATTTTTGGCACAGAAGACACTACTGCAATTTTCTTCAGCATATATACATCCAAACAGGAACTGAACTACTGTGAAAATGTCGTTAAATGTCTGGGGCTTTTTAAAGCTCTGACTTATGTAAAGCTCTGCAGTAATAAATATTGCGTGTACTTTGAACTTAGAGCAGCATGACTACCTGGTATACCAATAAGTGGTACAAATTACTTGTTATCGAAGGCCGGAGGCCAGTACGAGGTTGCAGACCCAAAAGCAGACTCAATGCGAAATTAGTTCTTAACAAGACTTTATTTAAACAGAGTGAACGAGATATGTATGTATATACAGAAGGTGGAGAGAGGAGCGGAGCGGGATCTCTGAAGGAGAGCTCTGAAACAGAGGAAAGGGCAGTTAATATCAGAATGGTGATGCAGAGAACTATAGGTGAGTAAAGGTATGGCGGATCTTTCCCTACCTGCAAAAAAAGAGGTGAGAAGCTTCGTGGAGAGTATCAGAGTGAGTGTCCAGGCTGGATTGAGGAGCGAGTGAGTGTGTTGAAGATCAGACTTTGAATTCCAAGGGAGTCCAGCACAGTGTTGGTCAAGTTACTTGAAAAAAGTAATCAGTAACTAATTACTGATTACTTCCCCCAAAAAGCAATCCTGTTACTTTACTGATTACTTATTTTCAAAAGTAATTAATTACTTAGTTACTTAGTTACTTTTTAAAAACACGATTTACAACCTGAAGAGGTGATAAAGCGATTTTCAGCCCAATTCTACTTTTTCTGCATAATCCATCATACAAAATGTAATCAAATGGAAAAGTCTCTTTTTAAAACTTGTTTTATTAGTTTTAATCTTTTAACTTTATGCATCAAGCAAAAATTTAATTATATGCAACATTCTCTGACTGGAAGAAATTAGTTTAACATTTAAACCTATTTTCTGCACATTCCAGCACATAAAATAAAATATTTTTTGTGTTTACACTCAGTCTTTCAAATAGATGCAAGTAAAACACAGCAGAAAATAAATAAAGTCAAAGACTCAGCGGTCCTGTTGCTCTATTTTCACCTGTAAAGCAGGAGTGGGGTAGGCGGAGGTTTACCCTGGTGCAGGTGTGCCGCGGTCAGTGGAAGAATCCGCGAGTTTCTCTGTGAGTTTCCCATTACATCGTAGCGCACTCGGTGCTTGCTTGGAAGTTTAGGGGTTTTTTCGCTGTAAAAAGAAGTTTTCTTCCCACGCACAACGGACGCTAATGTTTTTGTCACTTTTTATGGAATCAAACTCAAAGTAAGGTCAGTACTTCCACGCTTTAAACGCTGCACGCTCATACTCTCTCCTGCACTCGATATATGATCCACTGTTGATCTGATGGAGGCCCAGTTACCACCAGAAGGTAGCAGACAAACTGGCAGAGAATGGGAGACCTGGCCTTAAGACTCCCTCTGCTGATTTAGCCACCCAGTGGATTTCAGGTGAAACACCAGGAACTCCACCCACTAGGGTGGGCACAGGAAAACATAGGCTCTAGATGGAAAATCCCAATGTACTCATTCAGACCATCCAGCTTGTACCTCAAAATTTGGCTGTGAAAAAAACAGAGGACAAAAGTTTTCAATGTCATCACAACCCTAAAACAACGCATTGTAAAAAAAAAAAAAACTAAAAAGAAAAAATTAAGTTGTCAACTCACAGTATTTTAGTTATTAATGTCTATAGCATTTGGATTAGTTATTTCATTGCCTATCACAATATTTTGTGGTTTTAAGTCACACACACAAAATCAAGCCCAGACTCTGCTATTGCTTTTTATTGAACTCTCCAATGCTTTCAGTTCAATTCAATTTTATTTATATAGTGTCAAATCACAACAACAGTTGCCACAAGGTGCTTTATATTGTAAGGTAAAGATCTTACAATAACACAAAGAAAACAAAGAAAACCCCTACAATCATATGACCGCGATGAGCAAGCACTTGTTGATAGTGGAAAGGAAAAACTCCCTTTTAACAGGAAGAAACCTCCAGCAGAACCGGACTTAGAGAGGGGGGGTGATCTGCTGCGACCGGCTGGAGGTGAGGGGAGGAAGACATTGCAAAGACACACTGTGGAAGACGGGCGAGATATTAATAATATCTTATGGTTAAATGCAGAGAGGTCTATTAACACATATTGAGTGAAAAAAGGTGACTAAAGAAGAAACACTGAGTGCATCATGGGAATCCCCCAGCAGCCTAGACCTATTGCAGGATAACTAAGAGAGTATTCAGGGTCACCTGCTCCAACCCTAACTATATGCTTTATCAAAAAGGACAATTTTAAGCCTACTCTGTTAGGGGGCCTGGATTGTTGACCCAGTGGTTTTGTGTTTTTGGTTTTTTGATTTGGTTTATTATATTTTTAGTTTTCTTTGTCTATTGGGTTATAGGGTTATTCTGAGTTTGGGTTCTCTGTGTGGTTTATGTTACAGTTTTAGTCTTTTGGCTTCTGTCTGTGTTCCTTAGTTGCTGTCTCCCCTGTCTGCTGTATCCCCTTGTCAAGTTCGCATCTGTTTCCTGTTTTACTTTGAAGTCCGTGTCTCAGGTTACTGTGTCGGTTTATGCATCCCCTCTCTCATTAGCCCTGATTTGCCCCAGCAGTGTTTTCCCTTCTGTCTCTCATTCACTAATTGCTCCCTCTGTGTATTTAAGCCCTGTGTTTAAAAAAGGCCTTTCAGGTGTTTTTAGGACATCCTGATAATAATGAATTATAGTAGTCCAGCCTAGAAGTAATAAACACATTAACTCGTTTTTCAGCATCATGCAGATTCTTCAGTGTTACTGAAAACCAAAGTAATGCCATCCCGAGTAAGCATGTAATTAGATTTTCAGGGCCGAGTACAATAACCTCTATCTGCATGTGTGTTATCTTGGTTTATGGATAGATAAATGTGGGTGTCATCTGCATATCAGTGAAAATGTATTCTATGCCTTCTAATGATGCTGCCTAAGGGAAGCATGCATAATATAAACAGAATTGGTCGTAGCACTGAACCCTGTGGAACTCCATAATTAACCTTAGTTGTGTGACTCCCCATTTACATGAACAAATTGGAGTCTGTTAGAAAGATATTACACAGTACATTTAATACCTACAGCATGCTCTAATTGCTGTAATGAAATATTATAGATAACAGCACCAAACTCTGCACTGAGGTCTAGCAGGACACTCACAGAAATGAGTCCACTGTCAGAGGCCATAAGAAGATCATTTGTGGCCTTCACTAAAGCTGTTTCTGTACTCCGATGAGCTCTGAAACCTGACTGAAACTCTTGAAATAAACCACTCCTCTGCAGGTGATCCATTAGCTGTTTTACAATTACTCTTTTAAGAATTTTTGGGATAAAAAGGAAGGTTGGAGATTGGCCTACAATTAGCTAATACACCTAGAGATCGCTTTTTAATAATGTTTTAGCTACTGCCACCTGTGGAAATTAACTTATAAATCACTGAAATGATTTCCAAAAATATCCTGATTTATATTGATAGAATTAAAAACATTGCTGCACAGCATGGTGTGTCTTTACTCCTAATCAATCCATCACCTTAACCTTCTCAGCAAGGGGGTTAAGGCGTTTCCATAGCAGCCACCAGCCCGAGAGTGAGTCGCCGTAATTAGTGAGATTGGTTTCATCCCGGCTGCCCACATCAATAGCTATTGCCACTTTGGCCCCCATGGAGCGTGCAACATCAGCTGGGAGAATCAGGGGAAGAAGACATCAAGACAAACAGCATACAGTACTGGTAAAATTAAAAATATATTGCTATAAGCAAACAGCTGAGCAACTACATCAAAGTACGGCTACTTTTAATACTTAATAAGGGAAGGTACAAACTGAATGTAACAAACCAGGCAGGTTGTTGATATAGCCTCCATCCATCAGCAGGTGTCCATCTTTTGGGTGACACAGACGAAGGTGAAATCCATGTTGCATGACCCAGTTTCAGGCAAGTGTTAGCTGTCACATAAGGGGCCTCAGTACGGGTTTGACCAATCCATGGACTGTAGGGTGCTCAGGGTACTGTGGCTGCAAAACAAGGCAAGATCATCACTCTGAGCACAGCCTGATCTTGAGGTCAATTCGCTGTGATGTTGACTGCGGAGGAACACTGTGATGTGTAACACAATCACCTCTGAATGATCCAGACCAGCAAACTGCTTAAAGTTCTGCTCTCTTCCTCACACCCCTCCTCTCTTTCACAACAGCCATTCTTCTTCTGTATCCCCAAGACTCAGTACAAGCCATTCACAGCTTGTCTAACCATTGAACCCCTTGGCAGAACTATTATTCAACAACATAAAGATGTGAAGTTATTACATCAAAAATGCTTGCTCTAAGAAGATTGTTGCCTGATAACACACCTGATAATTGCTGTCATGTACTGAACAAGAGCTCAGTTAAAGGGGGAGGGGTGTGTGTGTGTAATACTTATACTAGCAATATTAATAAGTCCATGACTTCATGTAATCAAGTTGACCTCACTGCATTAAGTGAATCAAAACTGTAGGTTCCTGTTATTATATTCATCATTGTACAGATAAATGAGTCCCAAATGATTAAAATATTTTTTTGAGAATTATTTTAAAGAAAAATACCAACTCGGTTCTTGAATGAGAGCATGTTTTTCTGCTTTATACATGAAATACATGTCATGAGCACTATACCAAACATCAATTTGCTCTCAAAAATCGCCTCAGTTCTCTGAGGGACAGATTACACAAGCGGACTGCACCATTTTAAAAACTCCTTTGACGTTACGGTCCATGATTATGTCATTGTCCAACATAATCCTTTCAGATTTATCAGCTGCACATTCATTGAACAAATCTCCTGGTCAATCACATCCCTAATGCGTTATGTCACAAAGAAAAGGCTGATGATGTTTGACTATCAGAGTCTCAGACTAGCCCATCTGCCACCATCTCTGTTTTTTTTTATTCCATGTTCTTTAATATAGCAAAACGTTTAAGCAAGTATTATTATTGAGTGGCAGGAGGATCCCACAGTCACCCCCTCCCACCCCATTCTCCCGACTGATGCTTGATGTCACATTGCCTGTAAGAGCTTTGTTTCTCTAAAAAAAAAGGCTCAGCACTGCATGAATTACAGTCTATCAGTGCTTTAAAGGTTTCTTTTAAAAAGCTCATTGTTTTGAGGTTCTTCTCCACATGGACCGCTTTCCTGCATGAAGTCAAAGATGGTTCAGAAATGACTTGGAGAAAAACAGAAACCAGAAAGCTTCCAGTACCAAACTTGCCAATTTCACACAGAACTGGTTTTATTAAACTGCAGAATCTTTGTTAACTAAGTTATTTACCCTGTTTTTTTTTTATTTATTTGCTGGCAGAGGTCACTAATTATTATTTAATTTATTAATAAAAACTAATGACAGTGTGAACATGCCTTGATTTTTAAACTAACTAGATAGTACTGGTAAGTCCCTGTGAATGCAAAGCACTGGATTTAGGTTAAAAATATTTTGGGGTGTTTTTGCATCGCAGGTACAGCAGTAAAATATCAGACTAATTAACTAATGAATTATCAATAAATTAGTAATAAAATGAGGTTCATGCACTGTACATTGTGGACAAGAGATATTTTATTTTGTATTCTTATGGTCACAGTTATAATCAGAACTATCATTGATCAATCATTTAGCATTGTCGAATCAGTTGACAGAATAATCTTTGAATTATATCTATGTTAATCCGAGCAAATATTAATGTATACAGATTATCATCACTTTAATCAGTCTATTGTTGTTCTGTATCATTCTTTCTATCTGCTTAAGCTGTTGCACATCCTTGTATCCACTCGAACTTGTGGGTCCAGCAGGGCCTTGGTCCATCCACTTGCACATATTCAGGCGCATAACAACATGCACATAGTTATGTAAAACACGCACGTTCACACACACACTTATTAAGGACAGGGAGGTCGTCTCAGGACAGTCTCTCTGATAGATACACTATCACAAAACTGCACAACATAATACACACTTGTTTGTCTCTAAAGTAGCAGTTGATGTCTATATAAGGAGAACTTTTTGAGTGTGGGGAACTGTTAAAAACAAATGTTGGATTTGAAAGTGTAGTTCTAACAGCTCCTAGTAATACACCTTTCTCTTCTCCTGGGAACCAGTGAACACCTCACCTCCCCTACAGTAGGGTCCTGCTCGCCTAATCCCACAATAATGATGCAGTCAGCCTGACGGATGCACCTCTGTGTCCACGGGGTCAGTGAGTAGTCAGTCTGGTAAAGAACTATGCAATGGATGTCTTCTTGTTGGCCCAGCCAGCTGGACAGACGGTACTCATGAACACTAAAGAGGAAAGGAGTCCATTAATGACAGGCAGCATTGCTTTGCTGGCAGCATCCAAGACATCCATTTTCCTCTTGTGCCAATAGAGCAAATTTTAGCAGAATTTAATGAGCGTGAAAGACAAAGCACAAAGAAAATAAAAACCAACAGAAAGCAGTAAGACACAGAAAAATACTCATTTTATTTGAGGTTTGAATAAGAGAAGATTGAACCAGCCAAATTGCATAAAATGTTTGAATATGGCCTAAAACATACCTGTCAAGTGCAGCAGCTCCAAGACGCTGTTTGATAATACCACTTGTCAGTAGAAGAGTAGGACCTTTATGTGAGAGATGATAGATTACACCCATGAATGTCTACTTCAAGGAGGTGTTACGTCCAGGTTAAAGACAGCTGAAAGTGATTTGATTGTTCAGGTGCATCTCAGATCTTTTAAAGTCAAACATCCACCACATTGTGAAGCATTGGTGAAACGATTTTATGTGATACATTATAATAAAGCAAGGAAAGGTACTACACTGAAAACACTCATTTAAACCTTTTAACTGTTTGTAATCTCTAAAGTCCTCCTCCTTATATGGTCAATCCCTAAAGCCCTTAATGCTCATTAAAGTGAAAATCTAATTCCTTAATTTGGTGTTAATTTGTCTGTACTGTCTTATTTAACCAAAATCAAATGAGCATCTGTCCTGAAGGCTCAGTTCCAGTTCAAATTAGGGTGCAAACAGGAATCCATAATACTTAAGGAGAGAGTATTTCCGTCATGGAAGACAGACAGCGCATCTAATCCTGTCTCCATGCCTTGATAAGAAGTTTTGGAAAATGATAACAGAGTAGAGCTCTTATGTTTAACTCTCATGCCCTCCTCTTCTTTTTAGTCAGAATTTTGAAATCCGACGTCATCCATACTCTGTTGATGCATTTTACAGCTTTTCGACACCTTCGTGGACAAAAATGCACACATATAAAATCTGCCATAAAATCCTTATACAACAATTTTTTCTGCTTTCTTTTTTTTTTATAAACACACACACACACGCACAGACTGCTCAGAGACACACTTTCATCCACATCCACCCCACCCTCTGAAGTGTGGATGGAGTGCCCCCCATAGCCAGCAGTCAACCTCTGCCCAGACCACCAGCCAATCCCGAGACCAGGTAGGATGTACGATGGGGGGGGGTGGGCGGTGCTCATCGACGCCTCCTCCCACAACACCTCCAGTGTCTAAGGTGCATGTAAGGTCAACGCACCAAAGACCAGCACCCATCATTTCTACCGAAAAGGGTAGTCCAGCTGTTCCACTCAGGGACTTCTTGGTTAAAAAAAAAGAGAATCAAAGTAATCATGTGTGTCTGTGTGTGTGTGTGTGTGTGTGTGTGTGTGTGTGTGTGTGTGTGTGTGTGTGTGTGTGTGTGTGTGTGTGTGTGTGAGGTCTGCTTGTGTTGTGTGTGTTACTTGTGTGTGTGCAGTCTCTCATGCCTCATTTTTCCAACGCATTGTTTCATGACATCACTTACAGGAGGGTTTATAGTGTACAACATACATATTACAGTGGCACATCATATATGCTAAATGCATTTTACTTTAAGATTTTCAAGGAAAAGCTCACTTACAAGTAACGTAATTAAGTTAAATTATTTTGAGTTCTTGCGTAGGTCCACAGGACCTACTGACTGCGATAAGTGCGTTGTGTGTGTGTGTGTGTGTGGGGGGGGGGGGCGGGGGGGGGCGAGACTAAGGAATAACCTCTACCCTTCTACCCTTCATCTAAAACTGACGTCAACACGGCCATACTAAATTTGTCTCACAATCTTATTGCCACTATTACAGAAGCTCCAATGACAGCTTTTCTCCTCCAGGTAACAGTAACCATAGCATCCATTAACCCAGGTATTATTAGAAGCATTGTGACAGGAACCAGTCACGCCAGCCAACAGGGAGGTGGGTGAGTGAAACCAAGTGACTTTGCTTTACACAGGTTGAAAATACCATTTTAGAGTTTAATATGAGAAAAACTTAGCAGTCCTGTTAAAATATTTAGAAGATACTTTAGAATCAGATTTGATCAATATCATCATGTTTGTATAGAAATTGGCCATAAACTCATTCTGAATATTTTCCATTTAATTGCATTTATCTCTTTATTATATTGTTTTGATTTTATACTCTTTTTAATTTTCAGACCCAACAGTTTTGAGTATTACACGTTAAAATGTTTTACAACAAAGTAAACGCAGTTGAGTTATTCATGTTCTTTAGGCTTTGTTACTAAGCACAATCAATAGGAAATGCATGCTACATACACCATGTTACCATAAATATTCACTCAACCATCTGAATAATTAAGCTCAAGTGTTCCAATCACTTCCATGGACACAAATGTATAAAAATCAAACACCTATCCATGCAAACTGCTTCTACAAACATCTGTGAAAGAATGGGTATCTCTCAGGAGCTCATTGAATTCCAGCATGTTACAGTGATAGGATGCCACTTATGTTAGTTCAGTCATGAAATTTCCTCACTATCAAATATTGCACAGACAAATATTAGTGTTATTATACAAAGTGGAAGTGACTGGGAAGAACAGCAACTCGAACTGACACGAAAACCACAAAACAGGGTCAGTGGATGTTGAGGTGTATAGTATGCAGAGGTTGCCAAATTTCTGCAAAGTCAGTTGCTACAGGCCTTCAAATTTCATGTGGCCTTCAGATTATCTCAAGAACAGTGCATAGCAAACTTCATGCAATGAGTTTCCAAGGCCGAGCAACTGCATCTAAGCATTACATCACCAAGCACGATGTAACGGATTGCCAACACTGGACTGTAGAGCAGTGGAGGGATGGAGGGAAGGGGGATTATAGAGAGGGATTGTTTTTCAGGAGTTGGACTCGGCCTTAATTCCAGTGAAAGGAACTCTTAATGCTTCAGCATGCTGAAGCATTTTGGACATTTTGCCCTCCACTGTCTGTATAGTGAAATACTTCATGCTCCCAACTTTGTGGCAATAGTTTGGGGATTGCCACTTCCTGTTCAAGCATGAAAGCTCACAAAGCAAGCTCACAAAGACATGGATGAGCGAGTTTGGTGTGAAAGAACTTGAGTGGCTTACACAGAGTCCTGACCTCAACCTGACAGAACACCTTTAGGATAAATTAGAGGAGAGACTGTGAGCCAGGTCACCTTACAAATCTGCTTCTGGAAAAATGTCCAAAAATTCCCATAAACACACTCCTAGACCTTGTGGAAAGCCTTCCCAGACAATTTGAAGCTGTTATAGATGCAAAGTGTGTACTGACATTTTAATAAACACTATGGATTCAGATTGGGATGTCACTCAACTTCCTGCATGCGAACACTATATTTTGCCAATGCAGTGTATAAACTCAACTGATAGGTTAATTTGTGTCAAAATAAAAACAAGTGTTCAAAGCGCTAAAATTGCAAGGATTAAAAATATAATTGGATAATTTCAGCAAGCTGTGTGTGTTGCATGCAAAAATTCAAACATAGCTCAAAACTGAATAAAACTTTATATATAAAAGCAAAAAACAAGAAACTCGAAGGGAGGTATTTTACTTGCGAAATTGGATCCAGTCAAATGGATCACAACACATGCAAAAACATCTAGTTATTAAGCAGGAAAACAACCCTAGACATACAAGGAATCTAGAGGGTTAGAGAATGAATGGCTTTACTGTCCATCTCAGTCACCTGATCCTATCCTAACGGAACTGCATACCACCTGCTAAAGACTAGACTGAAAACAGAGACCCCACAGCAACAAGAGCTGAAGGTGGCTGGGAGAACATAATGGGGAAGGATAAAAAGGATCTGGTGGCATTAATGACTCAAAGACTTTAGGCACTCATTAACTGCAAATGACATTCTAAAACATCTACATAGATCTTGCTTTATTGATGTAAAACTAGACATACTGACCCTCTGGTGTGGCACATTTATGTAGCGTCAACCGCTTTAGCCATCTCCACATTATGCGTTTCAATATATTCAGGTTAATGTAAACTATCCTAATACTTAAAGGACTGGTAAATGAATTGATATACTGGATAACTCAACAGGGAATGAATATCTAATTTCCTTTTAATCAGATTAAAGGCCACTAAACAAAATGAGAAATGATTTAACTACTGTAGTGCGCACACCCACACTCCTCTGGCAGCCTGGCAAATGAATTTAGTGCATGCTTTTGACTAAATGCACTTGGAATTGTCCCAAAAAGAGCCCGAGACAAAGAGCATGAAGAAGATAAAAAATTTTTTATCTGGATTGTTTTTTATGCATATTCTATTTCAGCTGCCTTTTGGCTACATTTTTTGTTCTTTTTTCCCCCCTTTGTTTAAATATATCCCAAGATGTACTGGTCTTAGTCTGTATTTACTGAAAGTAGAAAGTAGAACATACAGGAAATCCAGTCTCATCAGCCATATGCAGTATACTGACAGCTAATAGGCAGTTCCATTTGTGATATTAACATTGTAATTTTTTTTTTATATCTAACCTTTTAACAGGTTCTTATATGAAAACAAACAGCTAGTGTTGTTTGATACAACATGGATATTAATAGTCTTCCATCAACTCTTCCCCAGCTGTCTTCCCTCTGGCTGTCACGGTGCTTACCACTCCAATCAGGTCACCACGTCCGTACTCCCCTATCAACTCTTTCTTGCCATCCTCCTTCATGATTACTGAGCGCAGTCGACCACTCAGCACTATGAAAGTGCTGTCTGATTTCTCTCCCTGCCTGCAAAAAGAAAAGAAAATACAGATAACTTCAGTCTACTCCAAACAACTCACAATCACATTTCCAAATTCAGCTTCCCCTCCCTCGATTAGTATTTATTAACTTGTCCCACATGAACCAAGTAATGCCTGTAGTGTTACGAGTTGATTTCACACATGAGACACAAGGTCAGCAGAGGAATACCTGTAAACAGCCCTGCCAGCTTCGACAGCCATCCAGTCAAGAGCAAAGTCTATTTGCCTGACAAAAGATGACATCCTCTTCACCACAGCATGAGCAACATTCAGCACCACTTTGGGCTCCACTCGCATTATCCTAAGGAATAAAGAATAATCCACAAAAGTAGAAGTAGCCATCTTTGTTTTCCCCTCCAACTCTACAGTGCTGAACATCACAACAGTGTGAGGATGTGTGCCCAGGTCACTCACTCATAAAAATGTGTTTTGGAAATAGAGAGGAAGCTGCAATCTCGCTGAGCTCAAAGGAGTCGAGCACTTTTGTACATAAACACCGAAGCGAGAGGAATTACTCACCACGGACATCGGGAGAAGTCACAGCACACGAGCAGGGAGCGAGCAAACGAAGAATGATTATTGTGACAGATGATTATTTGCATCTTTTGTCAATAAACACACTTTATTCTACACAGGAAGTCCTGCATGTGGGTCCTGCTTTCACCACTCTGACAGAACAATCCAGCCAGAAATGGACCCAGCGGATTTGGATCCCATTCAGCAAGGACTTGGATCCTGTCACTTCAGGGGGATCAATTGGATTGGCATGAGAAAATGCTGCAGCATTTCTCTAAGGAACAGCGCACTCTCCTTTAATGTGTAACAGAGATTAAAGGTATGTTACAGCCGCACCCGTCTGCGCCTCCTCCACCACATATACCGCCACACAGCATCGCAGCTGCCTGTCTGCTTCCTCCTTCGGTGCCCTCCGAGCCCCGGAAACACCCACTACCCATCCCGGAGAAATTCTCGGGTGAGTTGGACAAAACAGATAGATTTCGGACTCGATGTGCACTACCGTTTCGTCAGCAAAACTGAGCCTACACCTCAGACAGCTCAAAAATGTATTTTATGTTGGAGCTGTTGACGGGGTGTGCTCTAAAATGGGCTCAGGCGGTTCTTAAAGCTCACCCTGGTATATTCTATAATGACTTTTTCATAGTCTATAGAATAGAAAACACAAAGTTCTGTTGTGTTTTCTACAAAGGTTCGAGCCCAGATGCTGCCGCACACAAAATGTTCCACCTACAGCAAGGCAAGAGAGCCGTGGTGGACTTCTACACTGACTTTTGGATTTTGGCAGAGGAGACGGGGTGGGGGGAGAATGGTCTCCGAGGGGCTTTTCTCAATAGCCTTAATAAAGAGTTAAAGTGTGACTTGTCCCGTAAGAATTACCTAAATCACTGGATGCATTATCATCAATGTCTGTTAGGATGGATGGCCACATCCAGGAGTACGGTGGGCAAGCTGCCGATTTCTGTCGATTTCATTGGGAGGTTGCCTCCGGGGGACAGAGCCCTGAGAGGTGGGAGGCTGCTGGGAAGAGGAGCAAACGATCCAGCTCAGCCGGGCCCGACTTTCACGCTCGGACTGGAATCAAAGGCAGTGAACGGGGAGTGTTTCTTCTGTGGGAAAAAAAGGACATTATGCAGACTCATGCCCAGCTCGGCCAAAATAGCAGGCCCGTCGGTAAACGTAGGGATGCAGTTACCTTTGGTTAAACACACACATCCCACAGATAGATTGGTCCAAGAGTTGTATTGCGGGTTGGAGCTTGTGGTGCCATAAGAACTGTTTGCACTCAGCCACTCCCAGTGTCTCGCCATCCACTCCATCTGAACTGATCACAGTTCCTGATTTGTCCTCTGTGTCGTTGTATTTAGCAAGGACTGAGCTCTCTCCCTTCCTTCACATGGATCCTACGATTATAGAATAGACCTGCTTTCTGGCGCGCCTCTCACCACCAGTCACCTGTATAGTCTTTCCAAGCCAGAACAGGAGGCCATTGATTGATACATAACCAGTTCACTAGCTGCAGGAACCAATGGTCCCACAGTTTTTCAGGCCCTAGTGAATGACGTGTTGAGAGATTTCATTAATCACTGTGTTTTTGTGTACCTGGATGACATTTTGATCTTTTGAAGTCCTTGGCAGACCATGAGGGACACGTCTGCCAGGTACTACAACAGTTGTTGGAGAACTGACTTTTTTGTCAAAGGAGAGAAATGTGAGTTCCACCTACAGTCGGTCGCTTTTCTTTTTCTTATTGTCGAGCAAGGATAGCTGCGGGTGAACCTGGCAAAAATCAAGGCAGTGGTGGAATGGCTAGAGCCCAGGACCCGTAAACAGCTACAGAGGTTTTGGGGATTTGCTCATTTTTACATCCGCTTCATCCATGATTTCAGTTGC